AAGGCAAAACGTGATGCTGATGAATTGAAGTGTCGAGGATACATTCTCAACTCGCTTACCAATAGGGTCTGTGATCTTTACAGGAACATGAAGACTTTGAAAGAAATTTGGGCTCCTTTGGAAGTGAAGTATAAACATAAAAAGAAAGGTATTGATAAATTTCTAGCACTTAAATTTTTTAATTCAAAATCTCTGATGATATGCCAATTATGGGTCAAGTACACAATTTGGACGTTTTGGTTTCTTAATTGAGTGAATTGCAAATTGTTGTTCCTAACACTCTCCGAGTGGGAGCAATTTTGTCAAAGTTGCCTCCTTGTTGGCATGACTACAGGAAGAAAATTCTGCATTCTACATAGAGTTATACTATTGAACAATTTACTACTCATATGCAAATTGAGACAACCAATCGTGCAAGAGAGGCTATGATTTTGAGTTCTGCTTTCAAACATGACGTACACTTTGTAAGTGAAAAAGCCTCTGGTTCTGAGAAAAAGACTTTGAATTCTTTGAAAGTCCAAAAGAATGGAAAGAACTCAAAGAGCATTAAGAAAAATAAAATGCGCTTTCACTATGGAAAGGAGGGCCATTATATCATAGAGTGCAGCTTCAAGAATGCAGCAAAAAGAGCACTTTAAGTGCTGAAAATCAGAAAAAGACCAACATGATTGAGAATGCTGTTAAGAACTTGTTGCTATGGTGTCTCAAATGGAAATTGACATGATCACCGAACTACATATGGCTACTGTAATAAAGTCCGAAAGCTGGTGGCTTGATTCAGGCGCAACCATTCACGTGTGTCATGACAAAGCCTTTTTCAAATCTTATGAAGAACTGAGAGAGTTTGAGGAAGTGCTTATGGGAAATCACAATGCTACCAAAGTTGTCGAGAAAGGATCAGTGGAACTAAAGTTCACCTCTAGGGAGAAATTAACTCTCTTGAATGTATTTCATGTTCCTAATCTTAAGAAAAATCTTCTTTATGCTAATCTATGGTGTAAGAAAGGCTTTAAAGAGTCCTAGAGTCCGATAAAGTTGTAATAACTAAGAATAGTGTATTTGTAGGCAAGGGGTACACTTGCAATGGCATGTTCAAACTTAGTATCAATGAAATAAATAATTCCTTTGCTTACGTTGTGAGTGTCCTTCTTTTTCATGGCATGCAAGATTAGGACATTTAAATTTTCATTCAATAAGTTATATGTCTAAACATGGTTATATTTCTAGTTACAAAGATTCTTATGATAAATGTGAAGTTTGTGCAGCAAACCATGTCCTCAAGTTGAATGAAGTAGTGAACTATTAGAAATTGTGCATTCTAACATATGTGAACTTAATGGTCTTCTAACTAGAGGCGGCAAAAGATATTTTATGTGTATTTGATGAAAGCCAAAAATGAAGATTTTGATAAATTTAAGGAATATAAAGCTATTGTTGAAAATCAAAAAGGAAAAAGTATTAAAGTTTTTCGCAGCGGTAGAGAAGGTGAATATTTTCTAAATTTTTTTTTCTTTGTTTGTAAAGAAAATGGAATAATTCATCAACAGACTACTCCTTATTCTCCTCAACAAAATGGCTTCACTGAAAGGAAGAATAGAACCTTAATTGATATCGTGAATATTATGCTTCTGAATTCTAAATTGTCACTGAATCTTTGGGGTAAAGGTTTATACACCGCTTATCACATTCAAAACAGAGTTCCATTAAGAAAATTTAAGGTCTCACCTTATGAATTGTGGAACAATGGCAGAATACCCAATCTGAATTATTTGAAAGTCTCGGGGTGTATTGCTTTTTATAAAATTCCTAATCCTTATAGAAGTAAATTAGGACGTAGAGGAATTAAAAGTGTTTTTGTTGGCTATGCTAAAAACTCAAAAGCATATAAATTATTAGATCTACAGTCTAATGTTATCATGGAATCTATCCATGTTGAGTTTTTTGAGAACAAGTTCATCTCTGATTCTATCATTGATGATCAAAGAAATAAAAGTCCAACAAAATTAAATCCTTTGATGACTTTTTTTAGCAATGGTGAAAAAAGGAAAATTGAGAATAACTCAAATGAAGCTAGAAGAAGTCAACGAATAAGGAAAGAGAAATCCTTTGGTCCTGACTTTGTTTCAACTATATCCAATGTCTTCCTTGTTGAAGGAGAAAGAATAAAGTATTGAATAAAATACATTTGGTACTAAATGTAGAAGAAGATCTGAAAACATTTAGTAAAGCCATGATATCTAGAGATGTAGCTTTTTGAAAATAAGCTATAAATGATGAAATGGATTCTATTTTGTCAAATAATACGTGGCTCTTGGTAGACTTACCTACTGGCTCAAAGCCAATAAAATGCAAGTGGATATTTAGAAAGAAATACAATACAAATGGTTCTATCCAAGCTTTCAATATAAGATTAGTTGCAAAGGGATTTACTCAAAAGGAAGAAGTTGATTATTTTGATACATACACTCTTATGGCCCGAATAACTTCTATTAAGGTGTTATTTGCATTGGCTTCAATATATAAATTGCATGTTCATCAAATGGATGTTAAAACTGCATTTTTAAATGGTGACTTGAAAGAGGAAGTATATATAAAGCAACCTGAAGTATTTATACTTCCTGACAATGAACATAAAGTATGTAAACTTGTCAAGTCATTATATGGTTTGAAACAAGTTTCTAAGCAATGGCATGAAAATTTTGATAGTGCAATCTTATCTGATGGATTCAAGCATAATGGTGTTCATAGTTGCATGTATTCAAAATTCACAAAAGAATATGGAGTAGTTGTTTGTCTTCATGTGGATGATATGCTATATTTAGTACAAATATAATAGGAATAAATGAGACCAAAAAGTATTTATCTTCAGTTTTTAGGATGAAAGATCTTGGTGAACTAGATACTATATTGGGAATAAAGGTTGCTAAACATGCAAAAAGATATTCCTTGAATCAATCTCACTATATAGACAAATTACTTAATAAGTATAATCATTTTGATATCAAGAAAGCTAGTACTCCGAATGACCCTGGTATGCAGTTGAATGAAAATTGTGATAAAATTATTGCTCAATTAGAGTATGCTAGTGCGATAGGGAGTATTATGTATATCTCATATTGTACTAGGCCCGATATAGCTTTTGCTATATGCAAATTGTCAAGATATACAGGTAAGCCTAGTTACTGTCATTGGAAAGCAGTTGCCAGAGTACTTGAATATTTAAAAAGAACGAAAGTCTTGAGCTTAGCTTTTTCTGATTATCCATGTATACTTGAGGGCTATAGTGATGCGAGTTGGATGACTAGTACCGATGACAATAAGTCCGCATCAGATTGGATCTTCACTTCAAAAGGTGATGCTATTAGTTGGGCTTCAAAGAAGCAAACTTGCATTACAAATTCAACTATGGAATCTGAATTTGTAGCTTTGGCTGCAGCAAGGAAGGTGAATGGCTTAGAAACTTATTGTTAGATATAGAGTTGTGGCCACAACCGATGCCATCTATTTCCTTGTATTGTGACTGTGAGGCAACTATGTCTAATGCTTGTAGAATATACAATGAGAAATCTAGACATATCAGCCTTAGACATGACTATGTAAGAGACTTGATTTCATATGGGGTGATCACCACAGTCTATGTTTGGGAATAATTTAGCTGATACCCTTACAAAAGCTCTTCCTTGAAACTTGGTACAAAGTACTTTGTCTAGAATGGGATTAAAACCCTTGTTAAGCACCAACAATGGGAACCCAACTTCATCTTAGTAAAAACTAAGACTTGAAGTTTAATGGGTAAAACAAGTTGTTGATATTGCTTATAAGCACTAGAACTTCCATTCCAAATTTCTTATAGTCTAGTGCTGACAATTACGTTTAGAAAGGATGAGTGTGAACTCTTAATGGAGCATATTAGTTTAAATGTCTTGAGTAACTGGGATATTATAAGAAACTACACCTATATGAATTTAGAAGTAGTGCCGCTTCAGCGAGAGACTTGGGTAATCTCTTGTAAAAATTCATGAACAAACAGGATTAGCACATGGCCATTAGCATGCTAAGGCAGTTAAAGCCTCTTGGAAAGTAAGATAAGTGTAATGTGTGCTTTGTACTAAACTAAGAGTTGGAGTTCAATCTTCGGGCGCTATCAATTTTATAGTCTTGTGCACTAGGGAATGGTTCAAGTCGAGAGACACCTTCTTTAAGTATAATACTTATCGTGTGAAAAGAAAATCCAAACTAGTGACAAACTAGTGGGGCATTGTTGGTAGTTTGTCACAAATTTACGTATTAAGAAATTTTATTATTATGGATTTTAGACAGTTACTTAAAATCCATGAGTTGCTTCTATCATTGTATCTCTTCTTAAAAGAGAAATTTATTAGATTTGTGAGTCTTATCAAAAGAGATATGTCAGTTTCCATAGTTAATAGACGTTTCTCTTCATTAATTGGTGTCTCAATAAAATTTATAAAATCTCAATCAATACATAATTGACATATACTTTTTTGAGAGAGTTTTATTAAAGTTTTGTTGTATCCTAGGGGTATCAAATACCTTTAGGAAAGTGAAACCACGCCCCAAAACCATTACTGTACTACTAGCAAGAAAAGTAAGAAATCCACGGAATTAGAGCCTACGGATCTGGCAATGACGTTTTACCATTAAAGCTGACCATACAATCCACAAGGAAAGCGATCGTCGGATGCGATTAAATTCAGTCTCTGCTCACTTGTCCAATTCTTTTTTTTTTTTTTTGGGATAAGTGGATTTATATAGATTACATGGATAATCCACTTAAATCCGCCTACTTAAATGGGTTTAAATGGTTACTCATTCTCTGTTCTAAGTCATAAAATTTTTCTTAAGCTTCCATATCCATTGAACTTTGATTTATTTGGATGGATAAATGGATAACCATTTTGCTGCCTCTAGTAACAACTATATAATTCCCATGTGCTCGACAAACATATCAAGTGTTGAGCAATCAATCGTAATAGAGATTAAAGATACAATCAATGGCCAGAACAAATCAGCTGTCTTTTGTTCTTGGTTTTCTGCTATGCTCTGTTGTATTCACAAACACAGTAATCCACTGAAACCTATCTATTCACTCTTTTATCTCTTTTCTTCTTTTGTTTTACTAGTCCATGCTCTCAAAATTTCATAAGTCCGCTTTTGCAACTAGACTTTTTAACGTGATAAGTGACTTCGATTTCCTCCATTAATACACAACAAATGAGTAATCAATTTGTCTATCCGATAGGTTTCCCCACAAAAATATAACCACTCTGCAATGAATTTTCCTTGAAGAATTATTTTCCGAGTTTTCTCACCCTCATATATCAGTTTTGAAAAGATATGCTTATTTTGTCATAGATTTTATACTAAATGTTCACAATTTTTAACATCATAATCATGATATGATTTTTTTTTTTTTTTTTTTTTTACGCAGGAAGCAAGGGTGCAGAAGTTCTGGTGTGTATTGAGACGTGGTATTCCTGACTCTCAAGTGCAACAATTTTTAGATTCTGCCTGTTCCCAGCTTGATTGCAGGCCCATAAATCCTGGTGGTGCTTGCTACGACCCTAACACATATGCAAACCATGGATCCTACGCCCTTGATCTCTACTATGTCGTTCGTGGTCAATGCCCTGGGATTGGCATATTTACTGATAATAATCCATGTACTTCTCAAACTCCTTCTCCTTGTCACATTAAACAAGAAATAGGATACTGAACTGAAGCAATATATTTGTATAGAGATTTTGCTCTAACCTGTTTATGTTTACCCTTTTTTATTTGGCAGCTCATGGTAATTGCATCTTCCCTTGATTGGAGACTTTGGAGAGAATGCATTGAGACATCAAAAGGCGATTTCGGATTTTAAGCCAAAAAAACTTATGTACATGTAATAGTTCGTCAAGAATATATATATAAAAAAAAATCACAAGTTTTCAGGAATTGTTGGACTTTGTTCCCATTATATTTTTGTGGGTACGGATATATTGGTAAGCATAAGGGCGACTTTTGGAAAAAAACAAGAAGTTTTATTACTCTGTAGTACCCTCGTTGAATCTTTTTGTCGATTATTAAAAATCAAATCATAAGAAATACTTTTATGATGTCAAAGTTTTAGTTAAAATTTATATGAAAGCTTAGCCAAGAAAACAAGAGGAAACGTTTTACAATAAATTTTTTCCTGGATATTATCTCTTCACTTTTGTCCAAAGTGGATAATTATGTGATAACGCCCAATATGGGGAAGGACAAATTGAAAATGTAATAGAGGGATTTTTTATTTTTTTTTTCTTTTTGGGTTCAATGGGACCGAGACTCTGACCCTTATGCCTTATGGAGAAAGTTAAAGATATTAAAGAATATGCTGACAAAAAGAAAGCGTTATTAAAGAATAAGTTCCATAAGTAAATTGTACTCTTTTTTTGACAACTTGTACACTCAATTGAACACTTCTTTGTTTGGGTAAGTAACTAAACTTTACTTCGAAAAATCCATTCTTAAATATGAAAAGTGAAAACTATTTATGATCGATAACATCAATTTAAATTTCTTCCTTTCTCGCACATTTATTATGATGCATAAAATCAACGTAAACTTCTTCATCCTCGCAAATTTTTCCAAGTCAAAGCCAAGTTATAACTCAAGGTAGAGTGTTTCTTGTTAAAAAAGATGTACAAGAATTTTTCCACAATGGGTTGTGCGACAAATTATCAAGAAATTTCGTCTCTTTACTTCTTCCAAGATTATTCTGTCAACTACAAACCAGCAGTTGCATGTCTACTGAGGATTTATTGACTCCGTCAACATGAAACACAAAATTATGAAACTGTTGGAAAAAAGAAAAAGAAAATATTTAGCACTACAAATGTATAACAAAAATATCTAGCCAAAGTTTCTTTATATGAATGTTGTCTATGTACATATAATATATACAGTGCAATGTCTCATCAGTACACAAATATATCTATTCTTAAAAAGGAGGAACTTTACATAAACGACAATAAAGATATCAATCGTTTCCATAGTAGTAAAGATTTTCAAATTGTAATCAAACAATAATTGAAGTTTCCCCCAATTTGGTCTCAGACTATATAGTGCTGACAATCCAAATTTTCATACTGGTCGTCAAGAGAATGATCTCAATGCCTTGGCAAACGTTTTGACAATTGTTTAAGTGCAACCCATCCAGCATTGTCATGAATAAAACACCAATCGCAAGAATGACCAACTTTTGTGCTCTCATTTTCCACAAACTGCATAAATTTTATAGTGTTAATTTTGATGCATCTTATGCCCTCAATCTCTAGTATGGTGCGGTGACCATATATCCCATATTGGCTTAACAATTATAACCAAGTAGCCATGTTTCTCACTCTTTTTCTCCTTATTCGAATAAAATTTTGCCTAGGTTCCATTTAGTTTTGGTCTTCTCAATGTAATCCTTTGACTTTTATATTTGTATATTGCTTGGTCCTTACCCTAACTAATGACCAATTGATCTTAGATCGACTAAATTGATCTTACACCGACTAAATGTGCAGCACTATGTATAGACCAAGATCTAGTGCCTCAATAATTAAACTGTCAATCTCACCATTCATGTTTCAAATGATGCAATTACCTCTATGAATTATTTTTGGCAATTTTCAAAGAAACATCAACCCGTAAAGACATAGCGAATTAATCACCATTAGCAGTATAGTTAGACAAACCTAATTTATTCCTGCAGTGGAAGACTATTCATACATGACCACAAAATTAGGAAGCCATTTATAATATGTAAAGCAACTACCACCGCCAAGTGTATCAAACTTTGAAGCATGAATGGTTAGAGATTTGAACTCATCCAAGAAATGTACGATGTATGCACTGGGTTTAGAAATTAAAACAAATTATGCAAATTATTGCAAGTGTGTACACCAGCGATAACAAGGTTGAACCACCTTTTATGTATTTTTAGTTTTCTTCCCTGCGTTGTTGTGTTCTCCAATGTTGTAATAAGTAAGTCCATTCTTATTCCTTCTTTTCGTCCCTTTTTTCCAATATAATCTTCTCAATTTGTTACCAGATCACCAAAATTTTAATCGAATCTCTTTTTTTTTTTGAGTGTATTCTTGTTAATTAAAGATGGTTACGAGTCATCAAGCGGCTTCCATGTTGGCAATGACGAGATTATTCAGGGAAATGATAAATTAGTTATTCAATTTGATATTTTTGAGTCCAGGGCTTCATACCAAAAAAAAAAAGGTGGTTTCCTTGGTGTTGAGGCCTTCATACCTTTTATTGACACCAAATGACTTGTAGTGATGAGTTGACAAAAATCTTGTATTGACACCAAATGTCTTATAGCGATGGTTTAACAAAAACTTTTAATGGCACCAAAGGTGGTTGTCTTGGTGACAAGTTTAAAACTATATAATATTTTCATTGAGTAAATTTTTGTTTAGTAAATTGTTTCTTATTCGTTGGGTAAATTTCTGTGTTGGTATAATATTGATTGATTTCTTTTTGTGTTGGCATGTTTGGATTCAAGTCACAAGGCTATGAAGAAGTTCCAATATTTGAAAATATATTGGCTTATGATCATATATTTTATTACTATTTTCTATGTATTTTGAACGAATTAGATATAAATATTATTGAAAAAAATTCTTGATTTATATACTTTGTAAGAACTATTACTCATTCATATTTAGTTTTAATGTTGTAGTCTTGTGAATGTTACATAAGTTTTACAACTTAATAATTATAGCAATTATATTAAGAAAATTGAAAAATAAGTGAGTTTAACCTAAACTCGAATAAGGCTCAAACCTAAATATTATGTGAGTTGAGTATGAGTTTCATATTTATTAACCCAAAACTCATAACCCGAAACTCGAAAGTGTTTAAATTAAATGAGTTGAGTTTGAACTTATGAAAGTACAACTCATTAGACTCTATTGACAGGCTTAGACTCGATAAATATGAGTAATGAAAAATAAAATCAATCTCGAGATCGATCTCGATCTCGATCTCGAATTCGAGTCCAAGGTTTTTTAACTCGATTAGACTCTATTACATCCTAAATTTTTAACTTCCTTGGCAATGCTACATGTGTCTCACCGACCTGGTATTGTGGTGCGTGCGAGGTAGGCTGTTTGGGAATTTGCCAAGTTTATGTGGCGTGGTGAATCCATGGATTATGCTTCTTAACCAGTTCCAAGTTTCAAAAGATATGGCTGCATTATGGTTTCGTGGCCCCCAGTGGGTCCTACAAGCCTTTCCAACACCTTGTGTATAAAGTTCAAAACTTGAGTGGGACCCATTTTCAACAAAATGAAGAGGAAAAGAAGTTTGTCGTAGGCTAGCAAAGTTTCCAACGAAACTAGTCAATGATGTAAAGTGAGACATTAGTTTTTCAACGTGGATCAAAGAACTTGCACAAAAAAATTATAGTACAATTGTTCCTCTTTTATAACTAACCTTGTATTATTATATTAATGATATAATACAATGCCTTTTAAAAAAAATAAACCTAATTTTCAAAGATTCAATAATCAAAATTGTATTACACCACTTGGTACAAAAATGTGAAATAATTTAGATTATTGAATCTATGAAAATCGAATATATTCAAGTGTGAGTACTGGATAAATACCACACTAAACGGATCCTTACGTTTATTAAGTAAAGAGAACCTTACTTGTTTGAACCTCAAGAAAATGGCCTCTTGTTTGAAGTTTGAACTAGGAACAGAAGAATTTAACTCACAAATTTGCGTTTGCAAAAGTTATGTGCGTTACATCTCACCCAAGAAAAGAAGAAGAGGACATGATTGAGGAGCCAACTCAAATTTTTAGAGTACAAATACTTTGACAGGATTAAATAGAAGATTTTTTTCCCACATGCTTTGAGAGTGCTAACACAATTTGATTTCGCTGTAAAAGATTACCATCTTATAAAAGAAGTTCTTTTTTTTTTTAAGTGAGAGGTTTTGAAATTAGGACTTCTACTTATAATCTCTCTCATCTTATCACCCAACCCAATTCCCAAAAAGAAATTATGTATGAAAATGCGACTTATACCAAAAACTATTGATTACTACACTTTGGGTGATCACTATTCTCTATTGTTAAACTTATCCTCTACTTAACCGTTTATTAATTTCAACTCCCACCACTAATTGTTTTCTTCGTTTTTTTTGCAACAAATGAAAATAATCAAAGTCTTCCATTTGCGAATAGGATTTTGACTAAGCAATCGTAAAGAGAAAAAGTTTGGGGAGTTTTCAAAAACCTTCCCAAAAAGTGAAATACTAATCCATTTGGAAAGATTTTTTTGGGGGTGTTTTTGAAATATTTTACTGTAACGGTGTATATGAAAAACTTTTACTGTAGATGTTTTTTGAATCATTTGATATATTATATGGATGAGATTTTTTTGAGTTATTTTTATTTGTGTATTACTGTAACATTGTATTTGAAAAACTTGTTTTTAAAAAATAGGCCAATCCAAACGAAGCACATTTTCCAAGCAAACAAACAAATACTGCCGGGTTCATTTGGCTCGTGAGATGAGACAGCATTTGATGACTTACCCTATCTCATCCTGGATTCAATTTTTTAGTAATTTTTGAATGAAATTAAACCACCTTATAACTGAATTAATCCCCTCCAGAGTCTTGAGGGGTTTGTATTACTTATCTTAGGATGACTAGAAGAGGGGGTAATACAATTTCAACCAGAAAACAGTAGACATTAAGGGTCCGTTTGTTTCGGGTGAAAATGTTTTCCAGGAAAATATTTTCTAATTTCCCGTGTTTGGTTGCACAAAAGTTACTGAAAACATTTTCCTATGTAAAATATTTTCACTCATCTTAT